GCCATGGCCAAAGGCCTGCAGAAGGTGGCTCTGTCAGGGCCTTTCAGATTCTCCCCATCCCTCTCTCCTCTCCAGCCCAGGCTGTCCTATGGTGTCCATGCCCTGCCCCTTTCCCTGCAGGCTGTCGTCATCCCCCCGGCTGCCCCACCTGGCTGGCACCTTCCTGCACTGACATCTCTGCATCCTCCCTGGCTCTTCCTGGACACACAAAGCCTTGGGTTCATCCAGACTTTTCTGTGACATACTGCACCACAGCACTGACCTTGGAGGGAAATTTCTGACTTCTTGTCACCAGTCTAGGCCCCCCCAGCTGCCCTTGGTTGCACTAGTTCTTTCTTAGGCTGTTTTCTTCCAGGAAGAAAAGCTCCACCAGCTCTGACACCCCCCTTCCAGATCTCTCAGGCTACTTCTCTACTGTCCTCAGTCTTCTATATACGGGTCATGTGCTTGAGGCCCCAAATTCCTTCCTGGGAGATCTCTGGGACCTCTCCAAGGTTTTGGAAGATGACAATAGAGTGCTCTTATCCCAGGAAACACAGAGGGACACTTTTTTCTAAGGGTTGTCTTGGCAGAATGAGGCACAATATCTTTAAACTTTCTGGGACAAGGGAGCTCTGAGCTCTGGGTACGGAGGGAGCTCCAAGTGCCAGCCACTGGAGTGGGAGCTACAAATCATCAGGTCTTGTGTTCTTTGGAGGGCCAGACACTGGTGAGAGTGGTGTGTGTGTGCACATGTAAGGACTTGAAGGGCACAATGAACTGTCTCAAAACACTGTCAAAGCAGGAAAATCCAATAAGGTGCACAACACATAAGCACTGGTGGCAAACAGGAAGGCATTTAATTCCAAGGCCTAAAGGGAGGTGAAGCTTTGGAAGTAGTCCACAGGACAGAACTGCACTGTGCAGACTGTGGGAAAGAGCTGACAGTCCCAACAGGAAGCCAGGGCTGGTAAGGCAAGTCTGGGGAACCCATCCAGGCAAAGATTCCCACCTGCAGACTGGAAGCACACCGGGCAAAACTCCCACCATGGCAAACTGTGGAAAAGGAAGCAAGTCCTTGTACACGTGCCAGCCCAAGCTGTGGGAACAGCATCTACCCCCCTGAATACCTGGGGCTTGGGCTGTATAAAAGTGATACCCCAGAAGCACAACTTGGGGGCCCTCCACCGAGCAGAGCAGGGTGAAGAAGGACCGGCAGGAGCCTCAGGGATCTACATGGTGTGATACATTTACTTCATCTCTGTCTCTCTCTCACTGTCTTCCCACCACCCCCTTCTTCTCTCTCTTTCTCTTTCTTTCTCTCTCTCTCCCTCCTGTTTACTGTTAAATCAAACCTGGACTTCTGACTTTGGCACATGGTCTCCTTTGCAGCTGAATTTGGGCAGAGGCATCTTTTAATAATGGGAATCTGACAGTATCCATGAGGTTTTACAGTGTGGGAATGGCCACTAGATTCCATGAGGTTCCACAGAGTCACAGGGTCCTTTTGGCTTCGTAAGGCTCTGTAGTGTGATAATGGACCCTTGATTCCATGGGTTTGCAAAATGTCTCAGGACTCCTTTGGTTCTAGGAGGCCCCACATATCTCAGTGGCCCCTTGGTTCCATGAGATTCCACAGTGTCCCAGGAATCCTTTGGCTCCATGAGGCCTTGCAGTGTCATAATGGCCCCTTGATTCCATGAGGTTCCACAATGTCCCAGGCTTCCTTTGGTTCCATGAGGCCCTGCAGCGTCACAGTGGGCTTTGAGTCCCCAAGGTTCCTCAGTGTCACAATGGCCCCTTGATTCCATGAGGTCCCGAAATGTCTCAGGGCTCCCTTGGTTCCATGAGGCCCTTCATGGCACAGTGAACCCTTGATTCCATGAGGTTCCACAGTGTCACAGGATTCCTTTGATTTCATGAGGCCCTGGAGCACCACAATGGCCTCTTGATTCCATGAGTTTCCACAGTCTCCTGGGGTTCCTTTGGTTCCATGAGGCCTTGCAGTGTCACAATGGCCTCTTAATTCCATGAGTTTTCACATTGTCACAATGCTCCCTTGATTCCATGAGATTCCACAGTGTCCCAGGGTTCCTTTGGGTCCACAAGGCCCTACAGTGTCACAATGGCCCCTTTCCTCCAGGAGGTTCCACAGTGTCCTTGCTGGAACACACACGGCTGTAATGCTGCCCCACCTGCAGAGCTGCCTCCAGCCCTGGGGTCCCAGCACAGGAAGGACATGGACCTGCTGGAGTGAGTGCAGAGGAGACCACCAAGATGATGAGAGGGATGGAGCAGCTCTGCTGTGAGGAAAGGCTGAGAGAATTGGGATGGTTGAGGCTGGAGAAGAGAAGGCTTTAGGGTGACCTAATTGTGGCCTTGCAGTGCCTGAAGGGAGCCAACAAGAAAGATGGAGAGAGACTTTGGACAAGGGCCTGGAATGACAGGACAAGGGGCAGTGGCTTCACATGGATAGAGGGCAGGGTTAGATGGGATATTAAAAAGAAATTCTTTATGGGGAGGGTGGTGAGGCCCTGGCACAGGTTGCTCAGAGAAGTTCTGGCTGCCCCATCCCTGGAAGTGTTCAAGGCCAGGCTGGATGGGTCTCACAACAACCTGGTGTAGTGTCAGGGGGTTGGAACAAGTTGGTCTTTAAGGTCCCCTCCCACCCAAACCATTCCATGATTCTGTGACTGGTGGGGGATGTGGTGGTCGGAACTGTCTTGGGCACAGAGACCCCAAAATGATGGAGTTTTACTTTCTGAGTGAAGGAAGGGGAGGGCAGCAGAACTGACACCTTGGACTGCTGGTGGCCCGACTTTGGCTCTGCAGAGGGATCTGGGCAGGCTGGATCAAAAAGGCCAAGTGTCAGGGCCTCTCCTTGGGTCCCAACAACCCCCTGGAACGCTCCAGGCTGGGGGCAGAGGGGCTGGAGAGCTGCTCAGCAGGAAGGGACTTGGGGGTGCTGCTTGACAGAGACTGGATATGAGCCAGAGTGTGCCCAGGGGGGCAAGAAGGCCAAGGGCATCGTGGCCTTTGTGGAGAAGAGTGTGGTCAGCAGGAGCAGAGAACTGATTGCCCCTCTGTGCTGGGCACTGCTGAGGCCCCACCTCAAGTGCTGTGTCCAGTTCTGGTCCCTCAGTGCAAAAAGGCCCTTGAGGGGCTGGAGCATGTCCAGAGAAGGGAACGGAGCTGGGGAAGGCTCTGGAAAACCTGTCTGCTGAGGGACGGCTGAGGGAACTGGGCTTGTTGAGTCTGGAGAAGGGGAGGCTCAGGGGGGACCTCATTGCTCTCTACAATGACCTGAAAGGAGATTTTTAGTGGGGTCAGGATTGGTCTCTTCTGCCAAGGCTATAGTGAAAGGTTGTGAGGGAATGGCCTTAAATTGCATTGGGCAAGGTTCATATTAGATATGAAAGAAACCTTTTTCCACTGAGAGAGTGTTGAGGCATTGGAACAAGTAGCCCAGGGAGGTGGTGGAGTCTCTGGAAGTGTTCAGGTGTGTGGTGGGTTGACCTTGGCTGGACACCACGTGCCCACCCTGTCGCTCTATCACTCCCCTTCCCAGCAGGACAGGGGAGAGAGTAAAGTGGGAAAAAAACAACTGGTGGGTTGAGATAAGGCAGTTCATTTAAAGCAAAAAGCAAAGCAAAGCTTTTGCACGCAGAAGCGAACAATAGCAGGGTTCGTTCTCTGCTTCCCTAGAGCAGCCATGGTCAGCCACTCCCAAGGAGCAGGGCTTGGGTCCGCGGGACGGTTCCTCAGCAGGCAGCCATTAGACAATGAATGCCCCCCTCCTGCTCCGTGCCTCAGCTTTCAGAGCTGAGCTGACCTCCCATGGTCTGCAATGTCCCTTGGGTCAGTTGGGCTCAGTTGACCTACTTGGGTCCCCTCCCTTGCCCTCAGCTAAGGAAGGAATGTCCCAGTGTTGGTGCTGTGCTCAGCAGTGGCCAAAACACTGGTGTGTTCTCAACCCCCTTCCAGCTGCCAATGCCAAGCACAGCTCTGGGAGGGCTGCTGTGGGGAACTGAACTGCAGCTCAGCCAGACCCAACACAAATATCTATGGCACATATTCTATAGAATCCATCCGTAGCTATCGTATGATATATCAGTAAGATATTACAAATAATAAGCAATAATAAGGCAAGTGTCCTCCTTAGGGACACCCCCCAAACCCCCCAAAACTATTGCCTGGGTTTGTTCCCTGGGGGTCTCTGCAGCAGCAAGCACAGCATCACACTGACTGCTCTGGGCTGTGCAGCATTTGTGGTTCTGCCTGTCTCACACACACACCCAACCTTGTGATGGATCTGGATGTCACTGGATGTGATGTCACAGGGGAGATGTGATGTCATACGATGGATTTGACGTCATAGAGGAGCCTTGATGTGACAACAAGGATGTGATATCACAAGGGAGGTGTGATGTCACAGGAAGGAATGTATGTCACAGGGACAATATGATGTCACAGGTGACCTGTGATGTCATGGGGAGGTGTGATGTCATAGGGGACATGTGGTGTCACAGGGATGATGTGATGTCACGGGGGAGGATGTGACATCACAGGGATTTCATGATATCACAGGATAGGTGTGACATCGCATATCTCCTATGATGTCACATCCATCATATGACATCACATCCTCCCCGTGACATCACACCCCCATGACATCACACCTCCCCATGACATCACAGCTCCCCTGTGACATCACATCCTTCCTGTGACATCACATCTCTCCTCTGATCTCATAACATCCCTGAGACATCCCGAGCTTGCCTGTGACATCACATCTCCCCTATCACGTCACATCCATCATATGACATCACATGTCTCCTGTTATATCATATCATCCCTGTGACATCACATCCTCCCTGTGACATCAGATCCTTCCTGTGACATCACATCTTTGCTATGAAACACACCTTTCCTGTGACATCGCATATCCCCCATGATATCACATCCATCATATGACATCACATCCTTCCTGTGACATTATATCTCCCCTCTGACATGACAACCTTCCTGTCACATTACATCATTCTGGCGAGATCATGGCCTCCCCTGACATCACACCCCCCTACGACATCACACCTCCCCATGACATCACATCCTCCCCATGACATCACAGCTCCTTGTGACATCATATCCTTCCTGTTACATCACATCTCTCCTCTGATGTCATATCATCCCTGAGATGTCACGTCCTCCCCTGTGAGATCACATTCTTCTTGTGACATCACACCTCCCTGTGATCTCATATCATCCCTGTGATATCACATCCTTCCTGGGACGTCACGTCCTCCCCTGTGACATCACACCTACCTGTGACATCACATCTAGCCTATTATGTCACACTTCAACTCGACATCACATCTCCCCTATTATGTCACAATCATCCTATGACATCACATTTCTCCTGTGTATCATATCATCTCTGTGAGGTCACATCCCCCCGTGACATCACATCCTCCCCGTGACATCACATCCTCCCCGTAACCTCACAGTTCCCTTATGATGTCACATCCATCATATGAAATCACAGCTCCGTTGCAACATCACACCTCTACTGTGACATCACATCCTTCCTGTGACATCACATCTCCCCTACGACGTCACATCCATCTTATGACATCACATCTCTCCTGTTATATCATATCATCCCTGTGACGTCACATCCTCCTCCTGTGACATTACATCCATCCTGTGACGTGACATCTTCCCTATGACATTCTTCTTGTGACATCACACATCCCTGTGATCTCCTGGGATATCACATCCTTCCTGGGATGTCACATCCTCCTTTGTGACATCACATCTCGCCTATTATGTCACACCTCCATTGTGACATCACATCTCCCCTATTATGTCACAATCATTGTATGACATCACACTTCTCCTGTGTATCATATAATCTCTATGATATAACACCTCCTGTGACATCACATTCTCTCCTGTGACATCACACCTCTCCTGTGAGATCACATCTCTCCTGTGACATCACATCCTCCCCTGTGACAACACACCTATCCTGTGATATCACATCCTTGTTGTGACATCAAGGCTCCTTCATGAATTCACATTCATCATATGACATAACATCTCTCCTGTGATATCATAGCATCCCTGTGACATCACATCCTCCACGTGACATCACAGTTTGCCTGTGACATCACATCCTTGTTGTAACATCACATCTCCCCTATGAAACACACCCTTCCTGTGACATCGCATATATCCTATGATGTCACATCCATCACACAACATCACACCTCCCTCCGACATCACACCTCCTCTGTGACATCACATCCTTCCTGTGACATCACATCTCTCCTCTGATGTCATATCATCCCTGGGATGTCATGGCCTCCCCTGTGACATCACATTCTTCTTGTGACATCATACCTCCCTTTGATCTCATATCATCCCTTTGATATCACATCCTTCCTGGGACATCACATCATCCCCTGTGACATCACACCTACCTGTGACATCGCATCTCCCCTAGCATGTCACATACATTATATGACATCGCATGTCTCCTGTGATCTCATATCATCTCTGCGACATCATGTCCACCCTGTGACATCACATCTCCCCTCTGACATCACACCTCCCCAGGACATCACAGTTCCCCTGTGACATCACATCCCTCTTGTGACATCACATCTCCCCTATGAAACACACCCTTCCTGTGACATTGCATATCCCCTATGATGTCACATCTATCACATGACATAACATCCTTCCTGTGAAATCACATCCTTCTGGTGACATCACGTCCTCCCATGTGACATCACACTGCCACCCACGACATCACACCTCCCCATGGCATCACACCTCTCCTGTGAAATCACATCTCCCCTCTGATCTCCTATCATCCCTTGGATGTCACGTCCTACCCTGTGAGATCACATTCTTCTTGTGACATCACACCTCCCTGTGATCTTATATCATCCCTGTGACATCACATCCTTCCTGGGACGTCACGTTCGCCCCTCTGACATCACAGCCCCCAAGACATCACACCTCCCCATGAAACCACATCCTCGTGACATCAAGGCTCCTCTATGACTTCACGTTCATCATATGACATAACATCTGTCCTGTGATATCATAGCATCTCTGTGACATCACATCTCTCCTCTGACATCACATCTCCTCTCTGACATCACATCCTTCCTGTGACATCACATCCTTCTGGTGACATCACGTCCTCCCCTGTGACATCACACCGCCACCCACGACATCACACCTCCCCATGGCATCACAGCTCCCCTGTGACATCACATCCTTCCTGTAACATCACATTGCTCCTCTGATATAATATCATTACTGTGACATCACATTTCCACGTGACATCACAGCTTGCCTGTGACATCGCATATCCCCTATGATGTCACATCCATCATATGACATCACATCCTCCCTGTGACACCACATCCTTCCTGTGACATCACACCTCCCCAGGACATCACATCTCCCCTGTGACATCACAACCACAAATATGACATCACACCTCTCCGATGATCTCATATCCCCAGGATGTCATGTCCTCGCCTGTGACATCACATCTCCCCTATGATGTCACATCCATCATATGACATCAATTCTCTCCTGTGATACCATATCATCCCTGTGACATCACGCCCTCTCCTGTCACATCACACCTCCCCTGTGACATCACATCTCTCCTATGACGTCACATCCATCATATGACATCACACCTCTCCTGTGATATCATATAATCCCTATGACGTCATGTCCTCCTGTGTGAAATCACATCTTCCCCGTGGCATCACATCTCCCCTGACCTCACATCCTTCCTGTGACATCACAGCTCCCCTATGACATCAAATCCTACCCGTGACATCACACCTCTCCATGATATCATATCATCCCTGTAACATCACATCGTCCCTCTGACATCACATGTCCCAGTGACATCACAGGTCCCCTGTGACATCACATTTTTTTCTGTGACATCATAGCTCCCGTTATGACATCACATCCTTCCTGTGACATCACATCTCTATGACATCACATCCATCATATGACATCACATCTCTCCTGTGATATCAGATCATCCCTGGGACGTCACATCCTCCCCTACGACATCACATCCTCCCCATGAGATCACAGCTCCCCTATGACATCATATTGTCCCTGTGACATCACATACTTCCTGTGACATTACATCTCCCCTATGACATCACACCTGCCTTGTGACATCACATCCTTCCTGTGACATCACATCCAGTGACATCCAGATCCATCACAAGGTTGGGTGTGTGTGTGAGACAGGCAGAACCACAAATGCCTGCACAGCCCAGAGCAGTCAGTGTGGTGCTGTGCTTGCTGCTGCAGAGACCCCCAGGGAACAAACACAGGGGAATAGTTTGGGGGGAGGGGTGTCTCTAAGGAGGACACTTGCCTTATTATTGCTTATTATTTGTAATATCTTATTGATATATCATACGATAGCTACGGATGGATTCTATAGAATATGTGCCATAGATATTTGTGTTGGGTCTGGCTGAGCTGCAGTTCAGTTCCCCAGAGCAGCCCTCCCAGGGCTGTGCTTGGCATTGGCAGCTGGAAGGGTGTTGAGAACACACCAGTGTTTTGGCCACTGCTGAGCACAGCACCAACACTGGGACATTCCTTCCTTAGCTGAGGGCAAGACCCTGGGAGGGGACCCAAGTAGGCCAGCTGAGCCCAACTGACCCAAGGGGCATTGCAGACCATGGGAGGTCAGCTCAGCTCTAAAAGCTGAGGCACGGAGCAGGAGGGGGGCATTCATTGTCTAATGGCTGCCTGCTGAGGAACTGTCCCGCGGACCCAAGCCCTGCTCCTTGGGAGTGGCCGACCATGGCTGCTCATGGGAAGCAGAGAACAAACCCTGCTGTCTTTTGCTTTAAATAAACCATCTTATCTCAACCCATGAGTTTTGTTTTTTTTTCCACCTTGCTCTCTCCTCTGTCCCACTGGGAAGGGGAGTGATAGAGCGGCTGGGAGGGCACCTGGTGTCCAGCCAAGGTCAACCCACCACACACCTGAACACTTCCAGAGACTCCACCACCTCCCTGGGCTACTTGTTCCAATGCCTCAACACTCTCTCAGTGGAAAAAGGTTTCTTTCATATCTAATCTGAGCCTCGCCTGATGCAACTTAAGGTCATTTCCTCTCTTCCTGTCACTATCGCCTTGGCAGAAGAGACCAACCCCCACCCCACTAAAACCTCCTTTCAGGTCATTGTAGAAAGCAATGAGGTCCCCCCTGAGCCTCCCCTTCTCCAGACTCAACAAGCCCAGTTCCCTCAGCCGTCCCTCAGCAGACAGGTTTTCCAGAGCCTTCCCCAGCTCCGTTCCCTTCTCTGGACATGCTCCAGCCCCTCAAGGGCCTTTTTGCACTGAGGGACCAGAACTGGACACAGCACTTGAGGTGGGGCCTCAGCAGTGCCCAGCACAGAGGGGCAATCAGTTCTCTGCTCCTGCTGACCACACTCTTCTCCACAAAGGCCACGATGCCCTTGGCCTTCTTGCCCCCCTGGGCACACTCTGGCTCATATCCAGTCTCTGTCAAGCAGCACCCCCAAGTCCCTTCCTGCTGAGCAGCTCTCCAGCCCCTCTGCCCCCAGCCTGGAGCGTTCCAGGGGGTTGTTGGGACCCAAGGAGAGGCCCTGACACTTGGCCTTTTTGATCCAGCCTGTCCAGATCCCAGAGCTGGAGGTAGCTCTGTAGGTGGGGCAGCATTACAACCATGGATGTTCCAGCAAGGACATGGTGGAACCTCATGGAATTAAGGACCATTGTGACAGTGCAGGGACTTCAAGAGGCTAAGGAGCCCTGGGACACTGGGCAATCTCATGGAATCAAGGCAGCACTGGAACCCTGGCAAAACTCCTGGAATTCAGGGCCCATTGTGACATTGCAGCTCCCCATAGAACAAAAGGAACCCTGGGACGCTGCGGAAACTCATGGAACCAAGGGACCATTGTGACACTGAGGGGGCTCATGGAATTCATGGAGTCCATTGGGACAATCCAGCACCTCATGAAATCAAAGGAATTCTGGGACACTGTCGAGCTTCCTGGAACCAAGGGGTCCTGGTGATATGCCTGTCCTCCTGGAACCAAGAGAGCCCTGAGATACTTCTGAACCTCCCAGAATCCAGGGGCCATTGTGACCATGCAGAACCTCCTGGATTCAAGTGGTCCTTGTGAAACTGCAGGCTCTCCTGGAACCCAAGGATTCCTGGAACACTGCAGAGCTCACGGAACCAAGGGGCCACTGTCCCACTGCAGCTACTTCTGAAGCACAAGGGACCCTGGGACAAGGGGAAATCTCCTGGAATCCAAAGGGCATTTTGGGACTGTAGGGCCTCATGGAACTAAAGGAACCTTTGGAGACTGTGGAAGCTCATGGAATGAAGGGGCCATTGGGACATGTGGGGCCTCCTTGAACCAAAGGAACCCTGAGAATTTTTATGGGAACAAGGAGGTAGGAGTTGCTGCTCTCAGTTAATCAGGATCAACAAAGAGTGTTTTGGCCTTGACTGGTGTTTTCCATCCAGAGAGTGCTGTTTGCCAAAGCGGAAACCACTTGGAACGCTCTGCATGGTAGCCTGTGTTTTTCTCTGGTGGCTGAACACAGTCAGCACATGAGGGGACGGGAATGTGTGGGATCAGGGCACTGCTTTGGGGCCATGCTGGGAATTCTGGTGGACTAAAAGACAAACCCCAGGCACTGTTTCCAAAGGAACCCAAATGAAAGGGGGACGCCGGAAAGATGGGCGGACAAGTCCCACAATGGAACTCTGTGTGTGCAGCCTCATTTCCTCCTTCAGGAGCCACAGGAAAGGGGGCAAAAAGTGGGGGTTGGGACCCATAAACTGTTCGAGGGGGGGAAATAGGGGATTGAGGGGAGAATGGGAAAGTGGAAGGAACAGGGAGAAGGGTGGAAAAGGGAGGGCAGTCTGGCAGGTCCAACGGTCCCATGGGGGTCTTTGGACACTGGGAGATTGGGAAATGGGGGCGGCCACCCTGAGTTCTCAACTTCCTGTGGGGTGCTGGGGGCTGCTGGATCCAATCTCAGCCTTGGATTATGCCAACACTTTCAGTTTAGAGGAATTACAAAGGTGTGATTGAACCACTTTTGTCCCCCAGGTTTTAATGATAGCAAATAAGATCTACTGATAGAAATGAATTTACTTAGGGTTCCAAATGATCAGACAAAAGATCTTCATCAGAATTATTTACTGCACAATAGAAACACTAAAACTACCAGGAGTACAGGATAAGATAGGAAAGTGCTCTACAGTAAAGCAATTGTTGAAGCAATTCTACTCAAGCTGGCACAAAAGTAATAATTCTTAATTAGAGATGGATGGAACTCCCCCAGACCAACGCTCATGGGGAGATCTCTGCTCTCAACCTCCAGCAGTGACCTTGGGGGGTCCCCAGTAAAGGCAGGAATCTCCACACACCCCCCAAGAAGGGTTCAGTTGGAAGAACCTGCCACTGGGAAAGGGGACTGGCCCTCTGTGGTCAAAAGGAATGGACTGACGGTCACTGGACTCCAGGGGTTGCCTCACCATCAGGGGTTTCATTCGGGTGGAAGTAGTGGCCGAAGTTCTTCCCACAGTCAGGGCCCTGGTAGGGCTTCCCTCACCGGTGGATCTGTTGGTGTCTGGTCAACTTAGAGCTGTTGGTGAAGCTTTTCCCACACTCCCCACACTTGTAGGGCCTCTCCCCGGTGTGGATGCGCCGGTGGGTGACAAGGGTGGAGTTGTGCTTGAAGCCCTTCCTGCAGTCGGTGCAGCGGAAGGGCCTCTCATCCGTGTGCGTCTGCTCATGCCTGAGGAGATGTGAGCTGGTCTGAAACCTCTTCTCACATTCCAAGCACCTGTAGGGCCGTTCCCCAGTGTGGATGCGCTGGTGTTTGCAGAGGTCGGAGCTGTCACTGAAGCTCTTCCCACATTCCCCACACGTGTAGGGACGTTCACCAGTGTGGATGTGCTGGTGTCGGATTAGTTCGGTGCTCTTCCTGAAGCTCTTCCCACATTCCAAGCATTTGAAGGGCTTCTCCCTGCTGGGAGGCTGCTCAGGGACTACCAGCTCAGAGCTCTCCCTCAAGCTCCAGTCGCCTTCCCGGCACAGGCTGGCTCTTTCCTCCTCAGAGCACCCTGGGCTGGCTTTGGAGCCCCTCCTGTGGGGGGATCTCCGGCCCTTTTCCTCCCCGCTGCCTTCCTGCACCATGGAGCCCTTCAAAACGGCCTCTCCCACCAGGGTCTCATGGGGGGATTTGTCCTCCGGGCTCTCCGTCCTCAGCTCGGGGCCTGGGGCAGGAAGCAAGGACAGGGAGAGGATTTGCCTCCGGCCCACAGGGAAGGCCAAGGACATCCCCCCAACTCTGGCCCCGGCAGGACGGCGGTGGCAGCGGGGTTGTCCTGCAGCCGGGGCCATGCTCGGCTGCCAGAGCCAGCACAACACCCGCCGAAAGGGCCACTGACTTCCTCCTCACCTGTCTGAGAGGCCCACAGCATCTTCCTCTTCCTCACAGCCTCCTCCTCCATCCACCCAAGCTTTGGGAAGGAGAAATCCTGATGGGGGGGAAAATAAGGGCTGAGCACGTTGGCTTGGGGGTTCCTCCTGCCCAAGTCCATCTCTAGAACTCACCGGGCATCCTGTGGCCATAAAAACCTCCAAAACACCAAGATTCAGCCCAGAAAAAACCCAACGAGGTTCAGGCAAAAATACCCTCAGAAAAAGAGAGATGAACCCTCCCCCCAAAACTGAAAAAAGTTAAGGTTCAGCCAAAATATACTCCAAATTATGAAGATTAAACCAAAAATAAGATGTTTAATTGGTAGGATGAGGAGAGCAAAGTCATTTCATGAGCACCTGATTGAATTGTTATATATTAATCAAAAGCTGTATTAATGTAGTGTCCCTTAAAACTCAATTTTTTTCTTCCTATTTTCAGTGTAGAGAATAAATATGAAATCACTGGACTTCAGGCCTGCATCATTACCCCTGTGCTTTGGTTTGCAAATCCTTCCTCATTCTACTTCTTCTCCCCTGCCATCATTTCTGACAACTGGACTCCTCTGCTGTGCTGTGCCAGTATCCTGGGATGTGTGGTTTCCATGTTTGCAAGGATTAAAGGCAACTTTTTGCCTACCAGTGCCAAAGGCTGGTCTGTGAAGTTTAGTGTGAGAGGATCCTGGGCAATCAGACACTGAAATTGTTGAGCTGCAATGGGTTGTGCCAATGGAATGACAGAATCCATTCTGCTGGCCCAGACACAGAAGCCAATCTGTGGCTGTGGCTCTTGGCCTCACTGGCACCATCCTCTGTGGTTCCTGCTGCCCACCATGGCACTGGCAGCCCCAGGGGCACAGGGACGTCCATCCTGTACATGAAGTCAGACAGTCCACAAGTGTTAGCAGGAGTAAAACAGTGCACTGCTGACCTTCTCGAATTTATCTCTGTTAATGTAGGACCTCACTTGGTCAATCTGTGTTCTCTTGCACAGCGTTATGTGGATTTGTGATTTTTATTATCACTGCACCAAATTAATCTGGAATGTGTGGTCAAAACAGTAATTACCTGTATTTGGGTATAACTGTGAGCTCTTCTATTTTTTATGCGTTCTGGAAAATTCACTGACAACTTCTTTCATGACTACATGATGGGGACTCAATTTAAGGTTGGGGGGGTTTCCTGAGGGCAGCACTACACCAGACTTTTGTGTGTGTGTGTGAGACAGGCAGAAGCACAAATGCCTGCACAGCCCAGAGCAGTCAGTGTGGTGCTGGGCTTGCTGCTGCAGAGACCCCCAGGGAACAAACGCAGGCAATAGTTTGGGTTTATTCCTTGCTCTGTGTCAGTGGAATAGAATGTTCCACAGGAGCTCTGTCCCCCTCTGTGGCACCAGGTGGCTCAAAGCAGAAGAGAGGGGGTCAAGTGCAAGTTCCCTTCTGAAGTGTGTGTCCCTAAGGAGGACACTTGCCTTATTATTGCTTATGATTTGTAATGTCTTACAGATATATCATACAACAGCTAAAGATGGATTCTATAGAATATGTGCCATATATATGATACAGAATATATCTGATTATTGCTTTATCTGCCTGTCCAGACAGATATTGTGTATGCAAAGAGATTGTATTTGAGGGATATGTTCCTCTCAATACCCTGTTAGCTCCACTCCCAAGGCAGCAAATTCCTGAAGCTCCCACTTCTGTGCCCTGCAGGTTTTGGCAGATTTGCAAGAGCAGGGGAATCATTCCCTGCAGCCCCTTTGCACTGTAGGAAATGGGAGCACTGTGCACATCCTGCTGCCTCCAGATTCCATTCTGGGGGTGGGAACGACCCTGTGGGGAGCAAACAAATGCCTGGTTCTGCAGGAGCTGCAGATGCTCAAGGGCAGCAGGAACAAGTCAGGGGCCTGGGGGGATCTAGAGGGCTTTGGGGTCTGGGAGGGTCCTGGGGGAGCTGGGGAGGGGCTTTGGGGATTGGGGGTACAGACCAGGACAGACCAGGACAGACCAGTACCTCCTCACTGCTGCCCAGATCTCTCCTGGAACTGGGACACGTTGTCCTTGGACACCTGAGCCCCCCCAGTGCCCTCCCAGTACAGCCCAGTGCCCCCAGTACAGCCCACTGTGCTCCTGTCCCAGGGTGCCGGGTGATCCCTCTTTGGGGGGGGTTGGAAGGGATTTGAGGGGGAGGCTGGGAGAGATTTGAATGGATCTGGGGGGGTTGCATGGGGATTTGGGGGGGGGTTGGAGGGCTTTGGGTGTATTTGGGGGAGTTAAAACAGGTTTTGGGGGCATTGGGGCATCAAAGGGATCTGTGAGGGAAGGGGATTAAAGGGAAAATGGGGGTTAGGGGATATTTGGGAGGGGTTAAATGGGCCTGGGGGGGAGAGGAGGGGCTGCACCAAGAGCAGGTGACTCCTGACACACACCCCCCCCCCGGTGTCCCCAAGACCCTCTTGGTGTCCCCAGTTCCCCCCTTGACACCCTGAGACCCCCTCTGGTGTCTCCAATGTCCCCAGGGCCTCTCCATGGCTCCAATTCCCCCCTTGGCACCCCCAAGTCCACTGTACCCAAACCCCTCCCCACTGTCCCCACTCCCCATCCCTGATGTCCCCAACCCTCCATTTCACCCCAGAACCCCCCCCCGGACCCTCTGACCACAAAAATGCCCCCCACACACACTCACAGAAAGGCCAAGGGCATCTGGGGACAGTTGGGGGGCACTGGGGGATTACTGGGGGATACTGGGACACACTGGGGGGAACCAGGAGGCACTGGGAGGGACTGGGGAGTTACTGAGGGACACTAGAAAGGCACTGGGAGGGACTGGAGGTGAACTGGGGCACACTGGGGGGCACTGGCAGAGAACTGGGGAGTTACTGGGGGATTACCAGGACACATGGGGGGACACCGGGAGGTTACTGGGCCACACTGGGGGTTACTGGGTGCTCACTGCAGGATCACTGGGCCATACTGGGGGGCAGTGGGAGGTCACTGGGACACACTGAGTGGTTACTGAGAGGGTTACTGGGCCATATTCAGGGTCACTGGGAGGTCATTGGGATATACTGGGGGCACTCAGATCCCCTTACCCTGATGTAATATATCTCTCCCCCCGGATTTTGGGGGGCATCACTAGGACCCCTCCCCTGGGGGCTGGGGGACCCCATGAACCCCACTGCTGGACTTTAGGGAACCCCCTAAAATCCCTTCAAAACCCCTGAAATCCCCTCAGAAATCCACCGCTCGACCCATCGAAACCTCCTCAAGGTCCCCTCCAATCCCCTCAGAGACCTCATCCCTCCCCAGCACCCCCTAAATCCTCTCAGTGACCCGCAAAACCCACCTGGGAACTCCCAAGCCCATTCAGGGACCCCCCAATCCCCCTCACGGACCCTCAAAACCATCTGGGACCCCTTAAACCCCCTAGAGACCCCAAAACTGCCGAAAAGGTCCCCGCAAAGCCCCCCAAGACCCCCAAAGCTCCTCACAGACCCCCAAAGCCCACCTGGGACACCCCAAATCTCCTCAGAAACCAAACCGCCCTCAGAGCCTCCCAAACCCCTTCAGGGACCTTTAATTTCTCCCGTGATTCCCTCAGGACTCCGAACCCCCTCAGGGACCCCTCGAAACGTCCCCGGAAACCCCCGAACACCTCCGCTAAACCCTCCCGAGCCCTCCAACCCACAGCCGCGCTCCCCGCAGCCCCCGAGGGGATCCCCAGAGCTCCGCTCTCGCCGCCCCCCCCCCCCCCCCGCCAGGACTCACAGCTCAAGGCAGACCCCGCCACCATCACGGATTCCCGGCAGCCAACATGGCGCTCGCTCTGCGCGCGCACCGCCTTCACTGACCCGCCCCGCAGCCAATCAGCGCGCGGACACGGCCTCCGCCCGCCCCCAGCCCCGCCCCCGCCCCGCGCGGGGGGGTCTCTCAGGCGGAGGGCGGGCAGAGCCAGCGCCATGTTGGCTGCGGGAAAGCGGCAGGGGAGGGGGTGGCGGTCGCTGCGCTGAATTGTGTGAGCTGGCGGGGGCTTCGGTAAGAGCGGGGCTCGGGGGATCCCCTCGGGACTGCGGGGAGCGCGGCTGTGGGTGGAAGGGCTGGAGGTCTCGTGGAGGCTTAGCGGAGGAGTTCGGGGGTTTCCGAGGAGTTTTTGAGGGTCCCTGAAAGAACTCGGGGGGAAGTTAAAGGTCCCTGAAGGGGTTTGGGGGTCTCCGAGCAGAATTTTAGTTTCTGAGGAGATTTGGGGTGTCCTAGGTGGGCTTTGGGGGTCTCGGAGGAGGTTTGGGGGTCCTGGGGGGCTTTGCGGGGACCTTTTCGGCAGTTTTGGGGTCTCTAGGGGGCTTAAGGGGTCCCAGACGGTTTTGAGGGTCCGTGAGGGGGACTGGGGGGTCCCTGAATGGGCTTGGGGGTTCCCAGGTGGGTTTTGCGGGACACTGAGAGGGTTTAGGGGGTGCTGGGGAGGGATAAGGCCTCTGAGGGGATTTGAGGGGACCTTGAGGAGGTTTCGATGGGTCGAGGGGGGGATTCAGGAGGTTGTGAGGGGTTTTTGGGGGGTCTCCTAAAGCCCAGCAGTGGGGTTCAGGGGGTCCCCAGCCCCAAGTGGTCCTAGTGATGCCCCCCAAAATCTGTGGGGGAGATGTACCACATCCGGGTAAGGGGATCCCAGTGCCCCCAGTATATCCCAAAGACCTCCCAGTCATTGTCAGTATAGCCCAGTAACCCCCTCGGTAACCACACAGTGTCTCCCAGTGACCTCCCACTGCCCCCAAGTATGGCCCAGTGATACTCCAGTGATCACCCAGTAACCCCCAGTATGGCCCAGTAACCTCCCGGTGTCCCCCCATGTGTCCTGGTAATCCCCCAGTAACCCCCCAGTCCCTCCCAGTGCCCTCTGGTTCCCCTCAGTGTGTCCCAGTATCCCTCAGTAATCACCCAGTGCCCCCCAAAGCCCCCCAACTGTCCCCAATATGTCCCCAGATGCCCTTGGCCTTTCTGTGAGCATGCGGGAGGGGGCATTTTTGTGGTCAGAGGGTCCGGGGGGGCTCCTGGAGTGAGATGGAGGGTTGGGGACATCAGGGGTTTGGGGACAGTGGGGATGGGTTTGGGTACAGTGGAATTGGGGGTGCCAAGGGGGGAATTGGAGCCATGGAGAGGCCCTGGGGACATTGTAGACACCAGGGGGGTCTCGGGGTGTCAAGGGAGGAACTGGGGACACCAAGAGGATCTTGGGGACACCAGGGGGGTCTCAGGATTCACCTGCTCCTGGTGCAGCCCCTCCTCTCCCCCCCCAGGCCCCTTTAACCCCCCCCCAATATCCCCTAACCTCCATTTTCCCTTTAATCCCCTCCCCCCCACAGATCCCTTTGATGCCCCAATGCCCCCAAAACCTGTTTTAACTCACCCAAAGACCCCCAAACCCCTATGCAACCCCCCCAGGTCCCTTCAAATCTCTCCCAGCCCCCCGCTCAAATCCCTTCCAACCCTCCTTAAAAGGGGTCACCCGGCACCCTGGGACAAGAACACAGTGGGCTGTACTGGGGGCACTGGGCTGTACTGGGAGGGCACTGGGGGGACTCAGGTGTCCCACGACAATGTGGCCCATCTCCAGGAGAGATCTGGGGAGCAGTGAGGAGGTACTGGTCTGTCCTGGTCTGTATCCCCAATCCCCAAAGCCCCTCCCCAGCTCTACCAGGCCCCCCCAGACCCCTGACTTGGTCCTGCTGCCCTTGAGCATCTGCAGCTCCTGCAGAACTAGGCATTTGTTTGCTCCCCACAGGGTCGTTCCCACCCCCAGAATGGAATCTGGAGGCAGCAGGATGTGCACAGTGCTCCCATTTCCTACAGTGCAAAGGGGCTGCAGGGAATGATTCCCCTGCTCTTGCAAATCTGCCAAAACCTGCAGGGCACAGAAGTGGGGGCTTCAGGAATTTGCTGCCTTGGGAGTGGAGCTAACAGGGTATTGAGAGGAACATATCCCTCAAATACAATCTCTTTGCATACACAATATCTGTCTGGACAGACAGATAAAGCAATAATCAGATATATTCTGTATCATATATATGGCACATATTCTATAGAATGCATCCTAAGGTATTGTATGATAGATCTATAAGATATTACAAATAATAAGCAATGATAAGGCAAGTGTCCTCCTTGGGGACACACACTTCAGAAGGGAACTTGCACTTGACCCCCCCCCTCTCTTCAGCTTTGAGCCACCTGGTGCCACAGAGGGGGACAGAGCTCCTGTGGAACATTCTATTCCACTGACACAGAGCAAGGAATAAACCCAAACTGTTGCCTGTGTTTGTTCCCTGGGGGTCTCTGCAGCAGCAAGCCCAGCACCACACTGACTGCTCTGGGCTGTGCAGGCATTTGTGCTTCTGCCTGTCTCACACACACACACAGAAGTCTGGTGTAGTGCTGCCCTCAGGAAACCCCCCCACCCTTGCTCCAGCTAAAGCCGTGGAATTTGTCTTTGTTTCCCTTGGGTTCAGGGTCAGGCTGTGCCTGTGTCCAGCCCAGAGGCTCAGAAAAGCATTTCTCCCGTCCCACTGCAGTCTGCTGCTGCAGACAGGACCCAGGCACTGGTGGCCCTGGGAGTGAACAGCAGAGTGTTTCCAGGGGCTCTCTGAAGGAACACAAGTGTCCAAAGAAACCAGCACAAGTGTCCACAGAAGTCCCAGTCCTTCATCCCTGAATGAACTTGTTCAGCCCAGGAAAACTGTCTAAGTTTTATTTCCATGGAAGGAGGTTTTTCCCAGTTTAATGTGGCTTTAGTTCCAAACCAGTTTCTTCATTTCCTCCTCCCAATTTCCCTGAAGGACACTGACAGGGATCACAGAGTTTGTCCCTTGGCCATACAGCTCCTGCTGTTTGGCAGCCCAGACTCCAATCCCAAGGCACCCATTGGATCAGCACTTGGGGATACAACTTGACCTTGGGCTCAGGATGCAGCTGCGAACAGAGATTTCCCTGCAAAGTCTGCAGTGAGTCAAGCTCTGCAGAGGAGATTGTGCCCCATGGATGGGATTGCAGAGGGTCTCTCAGGTCCCCAGGATGAATCATCACTCTCTGCAAGTCCCTGCCAGGTGGTTTTAACCAGGTGGGAGTGGGACTGTTCTGCCAGGAAGCAGCAGTAGGACAAGAGGGCTGGGTCTTGAGCTGTGCCAGGGGAGGTTTAGGTTGGATATTAGGAAGCAATTTTTTGCTGAGAGAGTAATGAGGCCTTGGAATGGGCTGGGCAGGGAGGGGGTGGAGTCAGCGTCCCTGGAGGTGTTGAAGGTGAGAGTGGATGTGGCCTCAGTGCCATGGTCTGGGAAGCACGGCAGGGTTGGATCAAGGGTTGGACTTGATGATCTTGGAGGTCTTTTCCAACCCGACTGATTCTGTGATTCTCTGATTGCCATTCCTATGGCAGCACATGCTTGAGGCTCTGTCCATATATATCTGCAGGGTTAGTGTGTAAATGTGTGGTGTTAGAAAAGCAGGCTGAGTTCTGGGATAGTTCTAGAAGGAGAAAGAAGCCCAGAGCCCAGTGCAAGCAGGCAACCCTCAGCTTGCACATGATGTCCCCTCCCGGCAGGTTCCTGTCCTTGAGCCCAGGCCCTGAGGTGAGGCTGAGAAGTGGTGCAGAGGTGAGCCCAGAGCTGTCCCTGAGGTGAGGCTGAGAATAAGTACAAGGCAGAGGTGCTGCTGAGGAACACAAACTCTGCCTGGTCATGGAGCCTGCAAGGAGGAGCAGAGACAGCAATGGCAGTGTAAGGGCCAGGTTGTCCCTGTGCCTTCCCCTGCAGACCCTGACTGTCCCTGCTGGGCCCCTGTCCATCCCCATCAGGTCCCTGCCCGTCCCACCCGGGCTGAGCTCCCCCCAGGAACTGCCGTGGAGCTGAAGCTGCTGCCATCCCCCCCCTGCAGCCACTGCCCCAGCCAAGGGAGCAGCAAAGGCAGGGCCAGGAGCAGAGGCAGCAGCAGGGGAGCCCTGGGGGGGCTGGGAAGCTCTTGTGTGGGGCAGGAAAGAGGCGCTGGGCACGAGGCCGGGGCTGTGCTGAGCAGGCCCAGCCCTCACATCCCCCCAGCCAACGCCGGCTGCCCAGGGGGTGCGGGAGGGACCCCCAGCCCGTGTGCCCCACACTCAGCTGGCAGAGAGAGCACCAAGGGACAGGACCACGGGCAGGGCCACGGTGAGGGCACAGCCTGTGGCAGCAGAGCTGCCCAGGGCCGGGGGCAGCCGGGGGTGTTGGGACCAGCCAGTCCTGGGGCCGAGCAGAGCATGAGGCCTCTTGCAGAGCCCTGGAGCAGCCTCCCACTTGGCAGCCCTGCCCTGGTGGGGTGACACTGTCCCCTCCCTACAGGACACTCCCCCCGAAATCTTTGGGGGGACCTTTTGTGTCTATTCCTGGTTGCTGATTGATGCTGGGGACCTGAGGGAGCCTCTTCAATCCCATCCATGGGGCACAATCTCCTCTCCAGAGCTTGACTCACTGCAGACTTTGCAGGGAAATCTGTGCTGGCAGCCCGAGTATGTCACGACCCTCCGCACTCCCTCCTGGATATTTGGGACGAGTTCCCCCTTCCCAAGCAGGGGAAGCCTGGACATTGGGGACCCCTGGGATCCCCAGGAAAAGAAAGTAGAGAACGTGGAGATGGGGAATGTCTGAGAACGCAGCAGCTCGAAGGCGAGAGTCAGAGGAGAAGGGACTTTTGGGACCCCCAACACTCCCAGCATCCCTAAGTGGGACCCCCAGCATCCCAGACAGGGGAAACCCTCAGAACCCCAGAGCGGAGAGACCAGAGATGGGGAACTTCTGGGAGAGATTTTTTAATGCTGAATCTTCATATTTGGGAGTATTTTTTGGCTAAATCTCAACTTTTTGCCTTTTGAGGGGTGGAGGTTCATCTCGCTATTTCTGAGGGGTTTTTTTTTCCTGAATCTGGGTGGTTTGGGTTTTTCTGGGCTCAATCTTGGTGTTTTGGAGGTTTTTATGGGCACAGGATGCCCGGTGAGTTCTAGAGAGGGACTTGGGCAGGAGGAACCCCCAAGCCAACTCGTTCAGCCCTTGTTTCCCCCCCATCAGGATTTGTCCTTCCCAAAGCTTGGGCGGATGGAGGAGGAGGCTGCGAGGAAGAGGAAGATGCCGCGGGCCCCCCAGGCAGGTGAGGAGGAAGTCAGTGGCCCTTTGTTTTGGTGTTGTGCTGGCTCTGGCAGCCCAGCATGGCCCCCGGCTGCAGGACAACCCCGCTGCCGCCGCCGTCCTGCCGGGGCCGGAGTTGGGGGGATGTCCTTGGCCTTCCCTGTGGGCCGGAGGCAAATCCCCTCCCTGTCCTTCTTGCTTCCTGCCCCAGGCCCCGAGCTGAGGATGGAGAGCCCGGAGGACAAATACCCCGGCAGAAGCTGGTGGGAGAGGCCGTTTTGAAGGGCTCCATGGTGCAGGAAGGCAGTGGGGAGGAAAAGGGCCGGAGATCCCCCCGCAGGAGGGGCTCCAAAGCCAGCCCAGGGTGCTCTGAGGAGGAAAGAGCCAGCCTGTGCTGGGAAGGCGGCTGGAGCTTGAGGGAGAGCTCTGACCTGATGGTCCCTGAGCAGCCTCTCAGCAGGAAGAAGCCCTTCAAATGCTTGGAATGTGGGAAGAGCTTCAGGAAGAGCAGACCTGCTCCGACACCAGCACATCCACACTGGTGAACGGCCCTACACATGTGGGGAATGTGGAAAGAGCTTCAGCCGGAACTCCACCCTGATCAAACACCATCGCATCCACACTGGGGAACGACCCTACCCATGTGGGGTATGTGGGAAGTGCTTCAGTGACAACTCCACCCTCTGCACCCACCAGCGCATCCACACTGGGGAACGGCCCTACACGTGTGGGGAATGTGGGAAGAGCTTCAGTGACAGCTCCAGCCTCCTCACCCACCAGCGCATCCACACTGGGGAACGACCCTACAAGTGCTTGGAATGTGGGAAGAGGTTTCAGCGCAGCTCACATCTCCTCAGGCATGAGCAGACACACACAGATGAGAGGCCCTTCCGCTGCACCGACTGTGGGAAGGGCTTCAAGCACAACGACACCCTCGTCAGGCACCGGCGCATCCACACCGGGGAGAGGCTCTACAAGTGTGGGGAGTGTGGGAAGAGCTTCACCCACAGCTCTTACCTGACCTCACACCAACAGACCCACAAGTAAGGGAAAGCCCTATCAGTGCCCCGACTGCGGGAAGATCTTCGGCTGCTGCTTCCACCCCAAATGAACCCCCTGATGGTGAGGCAACCCCTGGAGTCCAGTGACTGTCAGTCCATCCCTTCCGACCACAAAGGGCCAGTCCCCTTTCACAGGGGCAGGTTTTTCCAACAGAACCCTTTTTGAGGGGGTGTGTGGAGATTCCTGCCTTGGCTGGGGACCCCCCAAGGTCAGTCCTGGAGGTTGAGAGCAGAGATCTCCCCACCAGCCTTGGTCTCAGGGAGTTCCATCCATCTCTAATTAAGAATTCTTGCTTTTGTGCCAGCTTGAGTAGAATTGCTTCAACAATTGCTTTAGTGTAGAGCACTGTCCTATCTTATCCTGTACTCCTGGTAGTTTTAGTGTTTCTGTTGTGCAGTAAATAATTCTGATGAAGATCTTTTGTCTGATCATTTGGAACCCTAAATAAATTAATTTCTATCAGTAGGTCTGATTTGCCATCATTAAAACCTGGAGGACAAAAGTGGTTCAGTCACAGCTCTGTAATTCCTCTAAACTTAATGTGTTGGCCTAATCCAAGGCTGAGATTGGATCCAGCAGCCCCCAGCACCCCACAGGTAGTTGGGAGCTCAGGGAGGCCACCTCCCTTTGCCAACCCCCCTGTGCCCAAAGACCCCCATGGTCCCACCAGTTGGACCCACCAGACCACCCCCTGTTTTCCACCCTTCTCCTTGTTCCTTCTACTTTTCCAGGGTCCTCACAATCCCCAGCCCCCCCCCGATCAATTTAAGGGTCCCAACGTCCACTTTTCCCTTCCCCTCCCACCTCTTCCACATCATCCACCTACTTCCCAGCCCCTTCATGCTCAGTTTGGGGGTCCCACCCTCCCCTTTCCCCACTTTTCTGACTGCTCCCCCTCCTTTCCCATCATCCCCCAAATCTCAGTGCCCTGTCCCCCCCC